ATTATGATTCAAGTTCTCGCCTGCGCCAATAGAGTTGCGAACTGCATATGATAAACTTTGCCTGAACCTTAAGACCATCTTTGTACTAAATTGAGACTATTTTAACACCAATTTCCCATTTTTTTTGCGAATAATTCACTTCCAAGCCCAACATAAACCGCGCAGCTCCATCTGACTCCACAGCAAAATGTCCTGAGAATTCCTTGTATATTGTGTCCTCCTCTGCATCTTAATTTTACACGAATAGTGTAACGGGGTGAATCGTTACATAACAATTTAGAAGAAATTGTTGATAGAATATAACTATAAGAGTTATATTCTCAGAATATTGTCATAAGGACAAATATTCTGTAGCACTTACGAGTAGTTCCTAATTGGTTGATATAGGCCATTATATCAACCAACGAAGACGCGCCACGACAGACGCACGCAATGAGTGGTGAGCAGATATTTGATTTACACATTTGTATTCAGACATAGTTAGATGAAGATAAATAGTGATTTATTGCAGACATTAACTATTATAAATACAGTTCTACTTTTTACTTTAACCAAGTACTCGCTTCTTCTTACCGTCTTCCTCTGCACGTACGAGTGTACGTGAAGTTCCGAGGCACCGCCTTATTCTGTTATCAGAATAAGTAGCTTGTAATGTTACCAGTACAAGCTTCAGGGTGCCCCGTTACACCTGGTAGCACTTCGTAGTCCGTCCAAGGACCACGTTCACATCCAGCATGAATATGTTGGATGATGAAGATGACCAAAGATTTTACGCTACGCGTGACGGCTACTCCCATTTGAGCGATGTCGAATGGGATGCGGTTGAACGAATGGGTTCGACCATGGGCATCCATGCTGTTAGCGTCATGCTAGAGGCTCTCAATAAAGATGCCCAACATGCTACTATCGCCAAGTTCATTCAAAATGAACTTGACGCAGAACGCGAGAAAGTAGCCTTGCTTCACCAACAAGGTTCTCAACAAGCAGAGCTGTTGCGAGAACAGGGTGCTCAACAGTTTGAACTGTTGAGACAGCAACAGGCTGCTGCTGGTGGGTCGATGCACTCGCGTCGACCCGAGACTTTGAAGATTGACATCTTCAAGTATAGGGGGGTCGAAGAGGACTCCCTCTTGAGATGGTTCGTCGAATTGGATGACGCCATAAGGGCGCGTCGCATCGACGACGGGGATATGCAAGTTGCATTTGCCCAGTCAAATCTGGCAGGACGTGCCAAGACTTAGGCACTGGGGCTCAAGTTGCACGACCCATATGCGTTTGGGTCGTTGGAAGTCTTCAAGTCGCGGCTTAGACAAACGTTTGAACCGCCTGGAGCTGAGTTCAGAGCTCGAACTGAACTCGTGAAGCTCAAGCAGGCTAAGCGTGATGTGCACGCTTACGCACAACATGTACGACATCTCACGAGTTGTATAAGTTCCAATCCGGTGGATGAACGCACGCTGGTTTCGGTGTTCATCCAGGGTCTTGCAGATGGTCCCGTCAAGACTCACCTGTTCCGGCTTGAACTAGATTCACTAGAACAAGCCATTTCCATTGCGGAACAGGAAGACTTCAGTCTGAGACAGGCTCGCGCCAGCTCGACATCTTATCGTCAACCGAGACGATATGACAACGGAGGTCCAGAGCCGATGGAGCTCTGTTATGTAGAGAGCGAGAAGGCTCGCTCTACAGGCTACAAGAAGCTGCAGAGATGCAACAGATGTCAAAAGACAGGACACTACGCTTACGAGTGTAGTGCCCCTCGTCCAGTGTCTCGCAAAACTGGGCGTAGTCACCGTCCACCCATGAGAAAGGGGCAGGGACGAGGGTCCGCAGTTGGTGCAAAGACGCAACAACGGGATGGACCGTCAAAAAACGGGCAGGATCAGTAGGTGCGGAGCACCCTACTGATCCAGCATTGTAAAGAGAATTTGTAGGCCTCTTGATGAAGGTTGCTCCCAACACACAAACGTTGTGCGTTGCTGCTCTAGGTAATGAAGTCTCACTCATTATCTTGAAACTCGAAGTGACGAATAAGTTGTCCCTTCGAGCTCTAGTCGATTGTGGGGCGTCCAACAATTTTGTGCGACGCCAATCGCTGGAAGATGGTCACTTTAAGTTCAGTGAATGTGACACACCTCCTACGAGGATGATGGTACGTCTTGCGACAGGCGCATCCGTAACCGTCATGAAGCGTATAGTGAAGATCCACTATACGCTAGAAGATACCCAATATGACGATGACTTTATCGTATTGGATTTGGATGACAAATTTGATATCATCCTTGGAATACCGTGGCTCAGAAGGTACGAAACACGGGTAAACTGGCAACATTGAACAGTAACGATGCCTCGAGGGTGGCGGATGTGTACGCATTTAACAAGTTGAATGCTGCAACGGTACCGGCTCAGACGCCGATACCGAGGAAGGACGTAATCATTGATGGTATGTCAAAGAGTACCATCTTTTCGTCCATGGATCTGATGGATGGCTTCTATCAAATCCTTATGTGAGAACGGGATATACCCTATGCCGCAGTTAGCACGCCTAGCGGCACGCTCTGGGAATGGCTAGTAATGCCACAAGGGCTTAGTAATGCCCCTGCCACGTTAAACAGATGTGTATCACATCTGTTGAGACCAGTACGAGAATTCGCGCCGAGTTATTTCGATGACGTATTCATCCATAGTCGAGCTATGGATGGAAAGTCGGACGTTGAGGTTCACAGGTACCACGTCCGACAAGTTCTTACAATCATGCGAAAGCATCAATTGTATGCAAACCTCAAGAAGTGTATATTTGCAGCAAGCGAAATACCACTTCTTGGGTGCATCGTTGGTAAGAACGGTGTACGTCCTGATCCCGAAAAGATCAAGGCGATCACCGACTGGCCTGTGCCAATTGATGTCAAAGGTCTTCGAAAATTCCTTGGGCTAGCGGCGTATTTGCATAAGTATTCACGCAATTACGCCGAAATGACTGTACACCTCTCTCGTTTGTTGAAAAAGAACGAGAGGTGGTTATGGAACGCTGAATGTCAGCGCTCCTTTGATGGTATCAAGCAGATCTTGATACAGTCCCCAGTTCTAGCAATAGCCGATCCAGACAGGCCATTTCCTGTGGTCTGTGATGCCAGCGATTTCGCAATCGGCTGTGCATTGATGCAGTACGATCTTGAAGGCGTTGAACGCGTCGTCTGCTATCAGTCGCGTCAGCTGCAACTAGCTGAGCGGAACAATCCAGTGCATGACAAGGAACTCCTTGCCATGAAGTATGCACTCGCGAAGTTCAGAGTCTATCTATTAGGAGATAGACCCTTCGTTGTTTATGCTGACCATGCGTCGTTACGCACGGCAGTAAAAAGCCCGCAACTTTCACAACAAATGGCTCGGTGGTTGTCATTCTTTGCAGAATACAACTTTACGGTCGAGTACAAACCAGGACGACTTAATGTCGTCGCTGATGCACTCTCACGTCGTCCCGACTTTGAAACATTCGTGAAACCCAACAGTGAGACCGTCACTGTTGCGGTTATGACGTCCTCAGTCCCATCTACATCGTTGTATGATGATGTGAGGCGGGCATACGCCCAAGATGGTGAGATTGTGAAGTTGTTAACGCATCTCTCACAACCATCTCGAGAATCGTTGAAACGATTATCGTCTGCGCATCGATCTTGCATCAGATCGATACACTACTCGCAACGGTTTACTGTATTATACAGCCGTTTCTGGTGACACACCACGTGTTGTCATTCCAGATGATACTGATCTGCGTTTGCGGATCATGTTCGAGTATCACGATGCTCCTATAGGAGGACATCGTGGCCGAGAGAAAACATATCTCACGGTGTGTCGAGACTTTTACTGGCCCCGCCAGTATCAGTTTGTGCGAAAGTATGTTCGCGCATGCGAAGTCTGTCAACGAGTGAGGTCAAGTCCTTCACTGCGTGCACCTTTACAGCCTCTAGCGGTTTCGGCTGAGTGCTGGTAATCCATCTCAATGGATTTCATCTTCGGGTTACCAAAAGACGCACGCGGGAATACGGGTATTCTCGTATTTGTTGACAGATTCAGCAAAATGGTACACCTTGTAGCTGTACCAGAGTCAATCATAGCAAGTGGCTGTGCTTGTGTCTTTATCGACACCTTCTTTCGACTTCATGGGTTGCACCGTGAACTCGTATCAGACAGATATTCACGATTCACTGCTGATTTCTGGCGTTCCGTGTTCAAATCACTCGGACCGCGCTTGAAGATGTCTACATCTGATCATCCAGAGTTAGATGGTCAGACGGAACGTGCCAATCATGTCCTTGAAGAGATACTTCGAGGATACGTACACTCCTTTAAGATTTGGAGTGAGTTTTTGCCGATTGTAGAGTTTGCCATTAACAACTCGGTGCATGCGTCCACGACACATACACCGTTTTACGTGAATGGCTTGCGCCATCCGCGTGTACCCACCTTACTAGAGCGTAACTCTGGTTTAAGGGGGGGAGGGACTCGCGCGAGCAAAAACCGATTTGGTTCACGCTCATCACGCTCTGACGAAGAGGTCATTGCGTTTGATGCCGATATCGATAACATCGATATCGAAGAAGATGATGCCAGTGAGAGCGAGGAAGCCCTCACTGAAGAAAAGGTTGATGTTGCTGCAGTGCGCTCACAGCGCACTGAAGCTAACGAGTCATCAGATGAGTTCATACTGGCTCGTGAAACGGTAGTCCGTTTTGTGCAAGACTCCATCGCCGAAGCGGTGGATAAGCAAAAGCAAAACGCTGACAAGAATGGAAGGGCAAACACTCTTTTATTTAATAAAGGTGACTTAGTCCTACTGTCTACGGTTAATCTACCAAAGCATGTAGTGACTAACTTGGGTAGCAGTAAACTACTACCCAAGTACATCGGCCCATTTCGTGTATTGCACCGCCTAGGCAATGCATACACGATCGAGTTACCACGTAAGATGCGAACGCATCCCACGTTTTACGTTGGTCGGCTTAAGCCGTACCATCAGTACGCTGCTTCTTCCGATGAAGAACGCCCTTGCGCTCAAGCATCTCGCAGAGAGCCTTGTGCTCCCGATGGTGGGCATCGACAAGGGTCTGAAGAGCAGTTATCTCATCCCGAGACCGATCAACAATCCCACGAGCTACCCTTAGCTCGTCACGAAGAGATGTCAGAGCTCTCTCGTTCTCAAGCTGAGCAAAGGCAAACTCAGCTCGATGCTTCAAGACAGTGTCCGCCATTTGGAGACGCCTGTCCCGCTCATGTTCGAGATCGCCGCGTAACCCTTGCGTTACGCGATCAAAGAAGCTCTCGGGAACACACGGATCCCCACGATCGTGTGGAGAGCGTCTTTCCTCCTCCTCCACCTCCATTAGAGGACTCTCGCGGTGGCCAGCGCTATCTAGTTGAGCAGCTGTTGAACCACCGCGACGTGAACGGACGTCGGACGAGTTATCTCGTCCGGTGGCGCGGCTATCCCCCGTCCTGGGATTCTTGGGAGCCCCGCTCCCAACTGATGATCGACGTACTGGGTCTGGTTGAGCAGTACGACGCGGCACATCCTGTGCCGCAGAAGGACCGCCGGAGAAAGTCTTCCCGGCACGGTCGTAAAGGGATTTCAGGTTGTCAATCCCTTCGTACATCTCAGTAGAGATACGTACGCGCCACCACGGGCTGGTAAGGAGGTAAGCCTCCTTAGGTGCTCGTGCAGAGTTGTTCACACAACATGGGCACGGGTCTCCCAAGAGAGGCAGGGTAATCCTTTCTCCCTTGACAGACGATGCAGCTTGTAGCGTGCACCTGTCGGGGTTCGCTTTTCAAACTTATCACGAGCTTTGATAAGTTTGTCGCTCCAAGCGTCACGACCTACATCCTCGAGGTTATGGATGTAGGCGTTCCACGCCTGAAGTAGTGAGGGACCATCACGCTTGTGATTCCCAATGTACCATCGATGTTTGAAGAAAGCATCGATGAAGAATTCATTCTCAGCGCGATAGTTTTTCGCGCTGGGGTCAAGGTGATGGATCCTTGACGAATCGAACAACCGTGTTCGATAACGATCACTCGTCGTCGCCGACAAGTGATCCATGACAGACTCAGGTGGCATCCATGCCTTCTTCTCAGGAACGAGACGCAAGACATTGCGGTCCCGACCTTCCTGCGACGTGCCGACAAAAGGACTGGCACCTCGTTGCGAAGTGGTGTCCATAGGAGAACCGACACCACTGTTAGCGCCCGAGTCTCGCGACCTCGAGCGCCTTCGCTTCGGCTATGGTTCATCTGATAAATCAGATGAACCAAAGATGCTGCGACGCAAAGCATCGTCCATGCCACGCTTGGCAGGCGGCTTAGATTCAATCGCCGTCGAAACGGATCCGTCATCCGTATCAGGATAGTACGAGACACCGAGCTCGTACTCTGTGAAGACACGAGTGTCTTCATGACCAGCGCCTGCATCACCAAGTGACACAGGCTGAGTCGCTTCAGCAACCGAAGAGTCATCAGTTGCTGTAGTTTCTGCTTCGGCGTCCGCACAGAGACGTGCAGACGCGCTCTCGGCGGCCTTGCTCGCGCATCGCATGGGCTTGTTAACCATGCGATGAGATGTTGGAAAGTGGACGCGGACCAACAAGTGCAAACCCTGTCCCAAATGATTTGGGACGAGTATCCATTTAGTCAATCAGTCACTAAAGTCACTGATGGTTAAGGGGGGGGTGATGTAACGGGGTGAATCGTTACATAACAATTTATAAGAAATTGTTGATAGAATATAACTATAAGAGTTATATTCTCAGAATATTGTCATAAGGACAAATATTCTGTTGCACTTACAAGTAGTTCCTAATTGGTTGATATAGGCCATTATATCACTCGACGAAGACGCGCCACGACAGACGCACGCAATGAGTGGTGAGCAGATATTTGATTTACACATTTGTATTTAGACATAGTTAGATGAAGATAAATAGTGATTTATTGCAGACATTAACTATTATAAATACAGTTCTACTTTTTACTTTAATTAAGTGCTCGCTTCTTCTTACCGTCTTCCTCTGCACGTACGAGTGTACGTGAAGTTCCGAGGCACCGCCTTATTCTGTCATCAGAATCAGTAGCTTGTAATGTTACCAGTACAAGCTTCAGGGTGCCCCGTTACAAATTGAAGGTATTCTACATACAAGATTCTGTATGTGGGTGACATCTTGTTTGCATGATTGCTTCAAACAAAAAGACATGTGTCTGCTCGACAATATTCGAAGCACGTGGTAGAGAGAACACAGAGCAGATTTTTTTGTGCCAAACCGCAGCCGCTTGTTTAATCCATATAAGCTGCGTTCTAATTTGCACACCATTTTTTCCCAGGAGCAATCTCAACTTCAAATAGTGGCTCAAACTTGCTGATCACCTGACGAAGAAACTTGCTGCACCACAATTGATACAACTACGCGATCAAAGTGGAATTTGCAAGAGTGCAAGTTGAAGGGACGTGTAGAGAATCACGACTTATGACGGTGATGTGCATGTCATGAAAAGGGCAACTTACATGGACAGTGGTTTCTGAACTATCTAAATTAATGAAGTAGTTTATAAAAGAATTTGTTTATTTATTTTAGCAGTAGATCAATGATCAATAATACGTTGTATTGATGAACAAATCATAGATCGTGTACTCGAACGTCTGCTTTGCTTTTTGATGGCCGATTTCCGCATCTCGTCACCGCTCGAGATTTTTCTGAGTTTGTACCCATCTATGTATAGCGTTGCATCTTGTGTGGGCATGCTCACATGGGTTGCTTCATTTGTAAAATTTTGTTTGTTGTTGCACTCGTGCAAAGGTAGTAGAAAGCAGAATAGTAAAATGTAAATTGAGTGTCAACTTCTTTCGTTTACTCCATACACCATGTGATCTTCCTGCAGCGCAACTTGATCAAGTCCAGCTGCAGATGGCGTGCATCCAGTCCGCACGTCTTACATGCTGATCCCACAGGTCGACCGTCTCTCTAGGTCTCATCCCCACGGCATCTTGGCTGTCCCATGTGGCGTTCGCCTCTCTTCGTCCCAACTGTCACGTTGTCACAATTAGAACCAATCAAGCGACGTTGAACCTTCCCTATTTTACAGATCTTGAAGTTGATGCTTGAACGCTTGACAACCTGTGAGAAGGGCGATAACTTCTAGCACCATTCACTGGTGACGAACTCAGCCACCCACCTACTGTCAAACGCCCATCTACATGCGCTACAACAGGTCATTTGTGCGATCGAGTACAGTAGAGACTTTCCAAGGCTCAGCCATTACCACCAGCCGCCTGTATCTTACGCGTGTATAGTAATGGCGAGTGGAACTGCTTACGGGTTGAGTACATAGCACGTGATCGTAGCGCGACGTTTGCGGGTAACACCCGTAACTTGGTCTTACATTAGTAATGCGTCGCTCCACGTTCCAACGTCATCCAAGTTGCGTATGTACGGGACAAGGCATTGGCATACGTAGCCCAAAGCCCAAAACACACGCTCGTACTTGTCACCATTTCTTTACCAGCGTCTCTTGTTGGTCTATCGACTTGGCGACATTCATCGGTTCCCCTCGTCCTCAGCATTCAACACACGTCCACGGCGCCATGACTCTATCCGTTCCATCGGAGCTTTACAACTCCCTCCTCCAGTCAATTGCTACCGAACTGCTCACCGAAGCAGGCCATTCGACCCACCACCTCCACGACGCCTCGGTCTCCGATATCCGAGCGATTGTGCACCATTTGCTGGTCGTCCGTGCGCCCTCGAAATGCAGCAGCGGTCTTGATGAACGCGACCAGAAGCTCTTCAGTCTCATAGACACTTTGCTCGACCTTGAGCTCAAGAGCCGCAAGAGCATCGTGCGTGCACAGGAGCTGCCGTCCGTGCTCCTTCCGTCGTCAGTAGGAGACGCACGCGGCTTTGAGCAGATCGCGTTGTGGAAAGGAGACATCACGACACTCGAGGCAACCGCAATTGTCAATGCTGCCAATTCGGCACTGCTCGGCTGCTTCCAGCCGTCGCACAAGTGCATCGACAATGTGATCCACAGCATGGCTGGTCCACGCCTGCGTGCAGCATGTCACGCGATCGTGTCCAGCCAGGCTCACGAAGAACTGGTCGGACACGCACAGATCACGTCAGGCTTTGCGCTGCCGGCTTCGTACGTACTGCACACTGTGGGCCCGCAGTTGCGTCGAGGCTCGAAGCCGACGGCTGCAGAGCGCGACCAGTTGCAGTCGTGCTACACGTCGTCACTGGACTTGTTACTGAAGACAGTAGGAGATGGACAAACCGACGAGCCTGTGACTGTGGCGTTCCCGTGCATTTCGACGGGTTTGTTCGCCTTCCCGGGCGACATTGCAGTGCAGCTGGCGGTGGACAGTGTGCTGGAGTGGCTGGCAACGCACCAAGACGAGACCCGTGGGTGGAAGGTGATCTTTAACACGTTCTTGAAAAGCGACTACGATCTGTACAAGAACTACATCGAGCACAAGTGCTCGGGCAGTGTGTCGTTGCCACTGGTACCGGATTCTCCAGTCTTGCACCGTGCTCTTGAAGCTATTCGAGATGCCGACTACTTGTTGGTATCTGCTGGTGCTGGCCTGTCGGCTGCTGCTGGTCTTGATTTTGGGTCCGAAGACGTCATGAAGATGCTGCATCCCAACGTGCACCAAGCCATCCCCAGTTTCCGGACATTGGCCAACATGATCTGCTTTCGCCGTTGGGACGACGCGCTCAAGTGGGGCTTTTTCTTCAAGAACGCAAGTGTCATTCGATACGACTGGGTGCGCTACCGCTCAGCACCCACGTACGCGTACCTGAAGAGTATCGCAGACAGGTTCGAGTGTCGGGAGAAAGGATCGGTTTTCATCAAGACCAGCAATGGAGACGGCATTTTCGAGCAAGAAGGGTTTGATCCGTCTGCCTTGTTTGTCATGCAAGGCGACTTTGGCCTCATTCAGTGTGCTCAGCCGTGTACACACGAGAGTGTATGGGATATCAAGCCCTTTATGGAGAAAGGAATGCAGAGCTTCAATAGGGAGACGTACCGAATCGATGATCCGGCAGGTATTCCAAAGTGTCCCAAGTGCGGTGGCCGCATGTCGACTTTCTTGCGAGAAGACAACACTTTCCTGGAAAGCGGCATCAAAGATGGTCGCGATCGATACGAGAAATGGCTGACTCGGGTGATGGATCAAGTGCAGAACAAGAGCAGGAAGATGGTTATTCTGGAGGTTGGGGCGGGGTTCAACACTCCAACTGTGCTTCGCCTTCCTGATGAACGGCTTGCATTCCACGATGGAGTCCAGCTCGTGCGTGTGAACCCCGAGTATCCAGAAATGCCTTTTCGGTGCCATGGTGTCGGGGTCACGGACGACGCGACGAGCGCGCTGGACTATATCTCACATCACTTACAATTCGAGTAGCGCTGCGTCGGTCGAGCAGATTGAAGACCTCGGTTCTCTGATTGCAAACAGCAAGCCACACGGTCGGACCGTGGTTATCTTGGTCACGGTGCATCAAGGCAGATTCCATCTTCCCCAAGCAAGAGCAAAGCTGGTTGTATAGTATTTCATGGTCATTATGCTGCTGGTCTCATCGTTGACGCTGATAGTCATGACTTATTGTCTCCAGCTCATGCAACTGGTGCCTTTACGCACCGTATTTAGGCGCACACCCAAGCCGGAAGGCCATTTCCTTCATAAACACACGAGCATCCATTGCTCCATATCCGCCGCGCTTGTCGATCTCTGCTTCGTCAAACTCCTGCACAGCATCACGACGAGTTTGGTCCTGACAGAAGCTCGAGAACATGAGGCGTCGTGGGGCTCTCTCGTCCTCACGCTTCGGGTACTTGTGATCCCACTTTTTATAGCTCTGTTGGGGTCGTAGAGCGTGGGGCTCCAGCGGCTCTGACACTGGTTGGCTGGCTGTTCTGACAATCGACACAAAGACTGAGCTGCCACCGTCGTCTTGCTGCTGCTGAGCTGTCAGCTCCGACACGAGGCACTCGATCCAGGACTTGGCAGAGTTCTTAGCCACTTCAATGTGCACAAAGACCAGAGCTTTGACAATTTCTGAGTCGGTAAGCAACGACGTAATCTGATTCTTTGTGTCATTTCCGTGCTCAGACACTTGGTGTATTGATGTCACTCCTGCATTCTTGGCATCTTGCAGTGCGGCATCTGATGTGCTGTAAAAGAAAATGGGTAGTTTTGGTAACCTGCCACAAGCGAAACGATACCCCACTTTAGTGTGTGTACGTAAATAAACACAAAATGATAAAAACACGTCTGACGCACGTGGTTGAACCGCCGTCTGGTCCTTGAGCCCCTAGTAGCGCCAGCAAATCGCTCATGTTTGGCTCCGAGAGTATAAGGAATCCACTGCATCCGTGTGCTGCAATGTCATTGTAGACGATCGAGCTGGCGGTCATCTTGCCATCCTCAAAGACAACGAGGATCTTTTGCGCGAGAGGCATGTCGTTGATCCTTTGTAAAATGAGTTTTATTATTTTCAGGTTATGCTCAAAAACAGATTTGGCGGGCTTTGAAGATATCGTAACAACTTATTATGGGTGAAAACGTGTATTAACGTCATCGTTTAAATACACTTGAACCACCCTCTAGAGAGAAGTAAATTAACATAGACAATCACTCCATAATCCCAATCGCGTAAGCATTTTTGCTTTTGTATTTTGATGAAGAAATGTACCTACTGGTGCAAATCATAGTGATGTGGTCTTGCATCGTAGACATGCAGTGGTGGAAGAGGGCTGCTCTTCTGTTCGTGTCTTGGTACGCCTCAAACTCATAGATACAAGTCATATTTTAAAGGTTAAATTCCGTGTTTATGCAGCCATGGCCCTGTCCTTCAACGTTTTACGGCTCCATTAGATGGATCCGCGACAACATTGGACTCGAACAAGAGCAAGCGAAGTTGCGTCAAAATATAAGGGCTTTTGTAAAATGAGATTTAAAGCGAATATTCTGCCATGTATTGCGCAAGGTATTTTATAAACAAGAAAAAACAATTTAAATTACAACGATGTAAAGCTTTTTATGCAAAAATCTGAAGGATGCAACGAGCTATTGCTTCAGTATTTAAGTAAATCTCACTATCAACACCATCCTAGGTCAAAAGTCTCATTATCAGCACCAGTCCCAAAAGCAGCACCAGCTAATAATCAAATTAGTGAAGATCACACTAAATTATTTTTAAATAGTGAGCCTGTGACTGTCGCGTTTAAAAGAAGTGCTAGATAGTTGGGGAAAGCGCTTTGCAATTTAAAGCGACGTGCGATGCGTGAGCGAGACATGCGTGACGACAGGTATGTGTGTGGTTTGTTACATGATTTTGCGCATCGTTTGGCTAGGAACTGACGCAGAGTCTACCTGTGTGCTGTACTACCTCCGATGTCGGGTCTTACTTAACAAGAGAAGGTAAGGCTTTGGCCCGATGTACGACTCCGCGAAAGCATTGAGGCCATGAAGGCGCTGGATCTGGAGACTTGCTCATGCTAAAACTGGTTATTATGCTGTTTAGTCCCGTACGACCGGATGGTGCGCTTGATACATTCAAGATAGAACAACACACTCGACTGGCTCGCGGAATGAAGCTGGACTTAATTTATGATGATTGAATATGTCTTTGGTGTGCTAATTGCGCGGGATGTGGCCACGGCCTAAACGTCCAACAAGTCGATTCAGGTAATTTATAAATTACGGGGATGTAAATATAGTATGAGCTAGGCTTACACATTGTGTGTATGGTGTTTCGTATTTTTTGTCATTGTAGGATTAGTGAGTATGCTATGCTGTTTTCGGACCAAGTAGCGGGACTTACAAAAGTGGTTTCGACAATTTGTAACGTGGATTTTTTTGTGTGTACTTTGTAAGAAATAGAAAGGAACGAACCACTAAACAAAACCTTTACTCTTGAAAAGAAAAGTGGAAAAATGCACGGAGTGCAGAGCATGTTATGCTGATTCTAGATAAGAGAAATTGTAGAAGAGCTGCTGTATGTAGCAGTTTTGATCGGTTGCACGCTAAACATTACATGCTGCATATGTTGTGGTGTGTATTGTGTGTTATGTAGGTTGTTGTGTGAACTAAAAAAGGAGCCCCGAACTCAAGGTCATGGTCTAATGCTATCCTCTCTAGTGATGGACTATGTGGTGCGCAAACAGCACGAAAAGACTGACCGCTGCAAAGTACTGTGCATTAAGCTGCTAAGTCACGCGAATGCTTCGCGCTCAAAGAGATCAGCCATCACTTTCAACCTGTAGCTCTAACTACAAGGACGAGGATTGAATTATGTTAATTTCAGTCACGATGTCGTAATTAGCTTGTAAAATACATAAAAATATATTGTGCTTCGCTTATTGTAATCAATTTTATTTCACTCTTACTCTTCAGGGTCGCATTTCCCCTGTTGTGTCGTATTAAATTAGATGTGAAACCATTTAATGCGTCGAGAAAAAATTGCAAGCATCGTAATGTACCATAGAAATCTATGGGAATGAGCTTGGATCAAATAAATTAAGTAATAAGCTTTCAGCCTACACGATACAGAAATCGTTCCCACCAGAGAAAAAACGCAAAAGCTTGAAGTAATGCAACATCCAATCTATTAAGGGCTCAAGAAAATTCATGTCGGAAACTATCTAAGATCTAGTTCAGTACGAAGGTGATGGAGTCATGTGTGGGGGCCTCGTACGGACAGGTTTTGGGCATCGCAAATTGAGAATTGAAAAGTGTCTTTGGTGCTTTAAATATTCAAACTCAACTCCCAAGTCATTTGGCTGCACAGAAAACAACTCATCTGGCTTCATACTTCGGTTTGCGTGACGACGACGTGTAATTACTGTTGTGCCTCACTTCCTTGCACGCTCGGCATTTGTAGGTAGATCCTGATTTCGTATCCCCTGAGCTCGCAAAAAGGTTTTTCTGCCGTCACCCAGCCTGCTTATAGTATGGTGGTGGGTTGATACATACTGATAGGGATATCGTGCATATAACTACTTCAATTGCCCTTTCCATCTAGTCCTGTTTAAAGGTGTCCACAAGGTACGACGGGTGTAATGCAGAAATCACATCTTTAGTGGACCCAGCAGCATATAGAACAGTAATTAGGTGGCGGCATGGCAACCCCTTTTGTGTAGGTAGAACACGAGCACTTCATTGACTCAACCTCGACACGCCAATATCTAGTAAAGCCCTGTTTCGAGGCAAATTATACACCCGAAGACGACCGATTCACTTCGTAATTAACGGAAGCAGCCTGCTCGGCATTCCAGAGAGATCCTGCGTGAGGAGTCACTGTAAGCTGCTTACGTGCCCTCTCAAAAACAAATCTTGACGAAAACTGAATTTCTTTATAGTCGCCTTCGTTTAAAATTTTAGTAACCTCGAGAGGTGCTGCATCACGAACGCCGTTAGCAAGAAGAGTGTTGTTAATTCTTTCCACGAAGTTGGTAGTGCGCCACCCAAAGCGTGGACATGGCCTCATTGGGGGTATAGGTATAACAACTTGTTGCGAGGTCGTGCATGCACCGTTAACTTGCGCTGTTACAATTGCAAACACTGTCCAGTATATTGGCTCAATGCGTTTATAAAACTTAGCTACATCATATCCCATCTTTGTCCGCAGCGCCGAGTGTGAAGATTTTTAGTCAGTTTGAGTCTCTGCTGACTGAATTTTCTATACAAAATGCTCGACCTCGGTCCCCGACAACCAAAATTTCGCTTACCATTGCGCAAAATGTGAATGTACAAAATCGAATTTGGACACTGATACCTTTTCTTAACCAGAGTGATTAAACGGCACCCTGAATTTTTCCACGGTCACACATTACTGCGATGTTCTTGAGATCAATCTAGGCGTCGATACAGAGTTTAAGAGACCACGCAATGTTATCCTGATTCTCCACGTGCACAAATGTCGTGGCGAGGGTGACATTTTTGCCGTTTCCATCTCGTCCGATTAGAGAGAAACTGGCACCATTGTATTTGCCGTGACGCGACTGCGTCATATTAACGCCTACTGCCGGCAAATTAAATTTATGGCTACTTACAGATGCGCCTAAAGTTACAAAAAAGCGAAAAAACCAATTTTACTGGTCAACTTCGAGTGCAACACTGCTTCCTACATTAAAACGCCTCTACCTGATCAGGTGCGGTGCAAGGAGTGAAAAAGATAATTGCCAATTTCCATCCATTTCTTCAACAACGGCCTTCTTGGCTGTGTATGCTTTATTTCTAGAGTGCTGCAAATTAGTGCCGTCACGAGCCTGGACGAGAGCCACATCTGCTTTCGCCTGATGCCTTTGTCACCTTGTACGGCGGCCTTAAATGTCGGCAGCAGTTGATGTTGCCGAGCAGTTGGATGGTTAATTGTCAGGCACGCATCAACGTGAACATCATTTATAGTGAAAATATAGTGCTTTGAACTTGCACTTATCCGCTTTCTCTTCGTCAGACGAACCTTCCATGGGCATTGATCCTGTGGGCACACATACGTCTTGCTGTTTTGCCACTTTTTTAGCTCTGCACTGCCGACTCTGATCAAAAAGTAGTCTTTCAAAAAGCTGGTTTCAGCAACACTGACAGGAAAAATTTGTCTATGAGCCAATTCAGTGGATCCATAAGTTTTATCTAAATCAATCGCCTCCCTTTCGCTTGACGTCTTGATAAATCTTGCTATTTTTTGCACTTAAACTCGTGGCGCTTATAGCATCATGTTGTTCTTATGTTTGGGAGCACCAAGTAGTGTGATCTACACTAATTTGATTACTGGATAGTGTTTCTTTGGGACTGTACTCATACTTTTATTCATTATGAGGCTATTTATTACGGTCTAAGGCTACGTATGACAGTTTTTTTGTATCTCAAGCAATGCGAGTAATTATAGCTTTTAAATATCTGAAGCTAATTATTCTAAATATAAATTGTTTATAAAGTTTTGATTAAGGTCTACAATTAATCATAAGAAGTTGAGTCAAATCAAGCAAATGCCTCCTTGTAGCACTTATGCTCCAAATAAGTGTGCTTATATCTGCAACAACGTAAAGAAAATTAATGGAAATTATAAAGGCAAAAAGATGGACTATGGGAAGAGCAAATCTCATTATCAGGACCACAAATGTCCAAACGTCCCAAAACCAGGACTATAGTTTAATCAAGTCTAGATTTATCTATTTGATACTTGGGTTAAGTATGCAAACTAGCATAGCGGTAGCCACATTATACTCAACTGCAACATGGGATGAGAAACTGCCTGATCACTAATGAGTCTTTCCATTTTTTAGACAACTGTCGCAAGTGGTCGAAAAACGCTCTATTTTTACCAACGGGTCGTTCACTTCTCAGTTTGCGCCCACGAGCCGATGTGCCCATTTTGGGTTGGGCACATTGCGTGCGAGCAAGGGCCTGGTCGCACGCACCCGAAGAGATCGTGACCGGGGGACTCCGTTATTATATC